AAAATCAAAATTGAAAGATTCCGAACCAAGTTACGTCACGACTTTTGGATTGTTAGTATCCACAATCATCTTCGGGTGATAACTGAACTTATTCCTCCAAGATCTAACTATTTATAGTTCATTCAAGTGCTTTCATCTATCCCCTCTTCCTTCTCTCCGCTTCATTGGTTGGCGGGAGTTGGTCGTTTTTCGCTTGATTAGAGGTTTCTATATATTACGTATCTCTACGCTAGCTTGACTAAATGCGTTGTTGGACAACATAAACGCGGCTTCTCCTAAACCAGTGTTCCTCTTTGTGGATGATTTCAGCTTGAGTCCACTTGATATTATGTTGATGAGTCCAAACATGCTCTGCTATTTCGGATTTGCTGGTTTCTCCTCGCTGTGTGTGTTTCTTGTTCTCAGCAATGCGAACATTCAATGACCTCTTAGTTTCACCGATGTATGATTCTCCGCACTCGCAGGGTATTCGGTAAATGCAATTTACCATGTTTACCTTGCCATGGTTTAATTATTGGTAGTGAAAATTTGGACAAGTTCTGAGTGGCTGAATCTCTAGAGCTAATGATCGTCTCTCTTCTTATTTCTTCAAATCGTTCTGTGGCATCCTGCATCAGAGTTAACCTCTTCCAACGGTGGTAATTAATTTGGGACCTTTTCAATGCTCGGCTGGCGCGTTCCAATATGCGTTTGGCTCTCTCACCTGGGATTACGATTTCAGCAAAAAAACCTTTGGGTATGATGATGTTGTGTCTAGCTCTGTACACGAAGCTGAGGTGAGTTTCTTCTTTGGTAAGCTTGACCATAGTCTTCTCATATCCTCGGAATAAGTACTCAACGTTTGTTTGAACGTAGTTGACAATGTTTCGTGGTGTATTTCATCAGTTCGGACTTCCATTGTCTATTATAATATAAATTGATTTGAAATCCCTGAAACAAATTAAAATTTATATTATATTAGACAATGGAAGTCCGAACTGATGAGCTTTCAGATCTGTTAACTTTTCACAAATTCGTTATTTTCACCCACATTCAAGATGTTTATTGAAAAATGTAATGTAATAATAATAGTTACTGCNATTTCAAATCAATTTATATTATATTAGACAATGAAAGTCCGAACTGATGAAATACACCACGAAACATTGTCAACCACCTTCAAACAAACCTCGTTAGTCTTTAGCTCGCACAAATTTCGAATTTTGAGGGTTGTCGTTCGTAGGGGTGCGACAAAAAATAGAAACAGATAAAGGCTGTTGTTGAAGCCGACATATTGAGCAGTGGTCCGAGAGATCGATAACGTGAGCTAGTAAGTCCTCGTTCATAAATATCTGGTCTAGTGCTCCATTTCTTGGTACGTTGGGGTACGAAGATATTATGTTAAGGCCTCGTTCGTGTCCAATGTTTCCAATGTTTTTTATGAGGCTGATGAGATTCTCTCCAGGTATATTTCAAGAGGCTCTAGTGGAGATCCAATTGCTCCGACGATGGGTATTAGAGATGTCTTCTATTTGTGAATCTTTGGTGATCCAAATAATTTGGGGCATCTGTTGGACTGCTCTCTGGGTATAATTTGTTCCTCAAGGTATCGGCTTCTATTGGTGACTCTATACAGAAACAAACTAGAGGAAAGTCCAGCCGATGTCTCGAATTACATGGAATACGAAATATCTACGAATAAAACACATATCACAGTTAAAAGTAAAACAGTATTTACAATTCTATGTCAAGAAGTCAGAGCATTTCCTCAGCCTCATAAAAACATCACATTAGACGCAATCGATATATGTGTCAATCTGGACATATATTTGTACCCCAAGTACCAGTAATTGAAGCACTAAACCATATAGCCATGAACAGGGAACCAACATGTCACGTTATCCAACTCTCAGCTCACTGCTTGGTAAACACATATTTCAGCTTCAACAGACTTCATGAACAGATAGAAGGTACTGCAATAGGTTCCGCTTTATGACTTGTTATCCCAAACCTATTCATGGGTTATTTCGAAAGCAAGGCCCTGAACAACGCACCTATGAAACCCAAATTATGGTAGAGAGATGTTAACGACATTTGCATTATTTGGTCTCATAGACATGAAGAACTTGATCGTTTCGTGGCACACCTAACAACTTGTCAAGACGTATTCCTAGTTCCAATATTACCAATTTCGTCCCACCTCACACCATTAAAAATTCACTGACTATAGTAGAAAACCACGCCACATAATTCTCTCAATAGCAATCAATAGCGATCGATTTCAAAAACTATCTGCATTCTATTGAAAATGAATTACCTTCTGACTCGAAATAATTCTGGAAATATGTCTCTATCAAAAAACAATGCGCGAACGAGCTTATATATGATGATACCATAGCAAATTATAGACAGGATATTTGCAAACTGTTTTCAACTTACTTTCAAAGCGTTTACATACCAGAAACACACAATTATAATAGTTCATCATCAAATAATGCTAATAACGAGCTACATTACATTCATTTACCTGAAGAAGGTATTAGATATATAGTAAAACAATTGTTGTGGTTCTGTAAAATATTCAGAGAAAATATCACCATGAATTGAAAAATATGAAAATTATAATGGAGAACATTAGGTATACAGTTGTAGAAATGACAAATTTATCAGTTTAGGTATCCCGATAAGTTACTGAGTAGAATCAAAGTATTCTTTACATTTCAAAACTCCTTTGACAGCTGTCGAAGAAGTTGAGAAATGAAAAATCAGCAATCAGCAAAGGAATAACTGCATATAATTTTCAATTTTGTTCATTTCGATGGAGGCAGATTTTGGCCTCCGAAGCGTTAAGTTTTGTATTGTATCTCAGCCATTTTGTTGATAGGCAAAATTTTTAAATACGACAAGTCACTGATAAATAGAAAGTTTTTCTTAGTTAAAAATACTTTGATGTTGCGCAGTAACTGAGAAGTTCCCCCTTTCTACGCCTGTATAAAGTTCTCCATTATAATTTTCATATTTTTCAGATTGTGGAAGCTGAAAATACACAAAAAACTGACTTTCCTCTACAAAAAATTTCTTTCGTTCAATATCATCATGAAGTTTTACATAAATACATTATCGTGGATTTTCATAATATGTTTCCACCCACCAAAATTTCTGTGACAAATTTGAGAATGAACTTATTTTAAATGAGTTAATTTGACAGATCTCAAAAGTATCAATTAGCAGATTATAGAAGTGTCATTTGACAAATTTTAATTTTTTTATAAGCTCAGTTACGCCCTCCTAAGGTGAAGTTATGAAAATGGATGAAAATTAACTGAGCCTAATTTTTTCCTTCGCAGAATTAGTGAATTAAAAAAAATTTAAACATTCACTTTCAGACAGAACGTCAACTGAAACTGTGAATAATTTTCTTACTATTCATCTCCCGGTACATATTATACGCATTAACTAATTCATTAATCACAGAGCGTAAATAACACAAACCTCACTCGTTCAAATCCATTTAATCGCCCTATGCAGGCGTTCAATCAATCAAGAACACAAATATTAGCTCTATCTCAAATTCTATTGGTAGGAGGCGGGTCTTCGATGACGTCATCGATACATCAGAAAATCTGAACCTAAAGCCGCATGAAGTTACGGCAACGGCATGCTTGAAGTCAGGGTTGCCACAGCTACCCCGAACGGGGTATTTCTACCCCTCTCCGGATTAATTTCCCCCGCTTGCTCCCCTCAAGCAAATCTACCCCGCTACAAAAAAGTTAGGAAAGTGTGAATAATCCTCGACGAAAAAATTTGAAATTTCATATCAAATCTACCTCGACATACAAAATAAGGATTTAAGGAAAGGGCAGGTATTTCACATTCAAGTGCACTTTTCTGGATCTCTAGTACTTCCTGGCAGTGCAGTGCAATTGGATTGACATTGACATATATGCTTTCACCTTTCACTTATGTCATGATTGTCAATGTCAATAATGTCACGTTGTCACGTAATGTTGTTATGTCACTGCACTGATGTCAGTTGTCAGTATTTTATTATGTTGATCATTGTGTGTATTTTTTATGTATGAATACGAATAACGAATATATCATTTTTTGGTACTTAACCACATAAACATGGAGAGGTAAGTAAATTTGTAGTACTATGGAATATTTTTTTAATTGAATCCTTTATCATTCTCAGGTTTGTTTTAAGAACTTCGAAAAAAAAGGAATCAACTGGAAATCCCAAGAATAGTTTACAGAGTTTACATAATGTACCAGATTCCCTAGATGATCCACAACCAGGAACATCGAGATCTACAGATGAACAATCAGTTGATTCATCTGTAGATCTTTCGGAAATTATTGCCAAACGATATGTGGTAGAATCAGAATCTGAATCTGAAAACGATGATCTTTGCCTAAGTGAAATTCTTGATGAGTCTCAAGATTCTCATCCTCATTTCAGTGGATGTGAACCAATAATTAAAAAAAAGAAATATAAAATTCAAGGCAGAGTGGCAAACCCAATATAAATGGATCAAACAAGGAACCAAAGGAAAACCATCATGTGTGGCTTGCAACATACAAATACATTGTAACTCATATAATTTAAAAAGACATGATGCCAGCAATTCCCATAAGAAGAATATGGCTAAACTTGAAAAAACTCCAAAAATAGAAGACCTTATTACAATTGAAAAACAGAAAAGACATGAAACATTGGTGAAAACTGCTGAATTAAATATATGCATGTTCCTACATGAACATAATTTGCCATTTTTGCTGGCAGACCATCTTCAGAAGTTTTTACCTCATATTTGTCCCGATTCAGAGGTTGCAAAGTCATTGTCTTGCAGGCGTACAAAGGCAACTTATATTACAAATGAATGCTTAGCTAAACATCAGATGAAAGAATTGGCAGAAAATTTGAAAACTAAGCATTTTTCTCTTATTATAGATGAGACAACAGACATTGCCACAGAAAAATCATTAGTTTTAGTGGTTAGGTATTATGATGATACAAAAATGGCAGTACAAGACAAATTCTTTGGATTGATAAAACCAGAAGATTTTTCAGCAGAAGCCATTTTTGATACAATTGTAAACTATATAAGAAAACAATATATTCCAATGGATAATATGATTGGTTTGGCAGCAGATAATGCATCAGTCATGATGGGAAAACAAACAGGTGTTCAAGCTCGATTTAGAAGAATATTACCAAATATATTTATACTAGGTTGTATATGCCACTCATTCCATCTCTGTTCGTCTGCAGCCTCCAAAAAATTACCAAAAAACTTGGAGGATTCCATTAGAGAAATTTACAACTATTTCTCAAACAGTAGCAAACGAATTGATAGGCTCAAAGAATGTCAAGTGTTCATTAATATGAAGCCCCACAAATTGCTTCACCCAGCTCAGACAAGGTGGCTTTCACTACAGGTAGATCCTTCACATCTTTATTAATACATTGAAACAATTCTTTATTTTCCAGGCAGCTGTTGATAGAGTTTTAGAAAACTGGAATCCACTAGTGATGTTTTTCACCAATGAATGTTTTGAGCAAGATTTAAACTCATGTAATAAAATACTAGAAAATCTCAATCACCCAATTTACAAAATGTACTTCAAATTTTTATCATATGTATTAGACATTGTAAACAGATTGAACCTAGAATTTCAATCTGAAAAAACAAAAATCCATTTAGTCCAAAAGAGAGTAAGAGATTTATATAGAACACTCCTTCGGAATTTCATTAAAAAGGAACACATAGATAAAACTCCAATACAAAATATTAATCCATCAAATCCCAGGTCAATCATAGAATTAGAAAAAATGTATTTAGGTGCACAGGTTGAGTTAATGATTAACGATTTTGAAGTAAATGATGTGAGAGATTTCAAGCTAAGATGTCTAGATTTTTACATTGAATTATGTACACAGATAAAGAATAGGTTTGATTTTGAAAACCCAGTTTTGAACTATGTTTCCATTTTTGATCCAAAAACAGCTGTGTCTGGTGAAATAGGCAACATAGTAAAAGATACAACCACTTTATTTCCAAACCTTGTGAGAGATATTGAACAACTCAATTCGGAATGGCGATTGCTTGGAGATATCGACCAATTCAAGCAATGTAACTTGACATCATTTGAAGAATTCTGGAATCACATTTTCAATGCAAAAAATGACCTCAATGGACCTTTATTCCCACAGCTCTGTTTGTTAGTGAAAGGAATCATATCTTTACCGCATTCTTCTGCTGCAGCAGAACGAGTTTTTTCTCAGTTGTTTTTATTGAAAACAAAAACTCGTAACAGGTTAGATGTTGATACTTGTTGCAGCATTTTACATTGTAAAGAACTAATGAACAATGAAACTTGCTATACGTGGACCCCTTCCACAGATTTATTGAAAAGGAAGTTTAGGGATTGAAACTACAGCTATTATAGCTATTATGTAGTTGAAAAACCTATACTCATATATTATCATTCAGTTCCTATATATGACATGTGCTTATAAGAAGTGCTGTTTTGTTTATTTTTTTTTATATCTGTGATTTTTTAAGAATGGCTGTTTTGTTTATTTTTTTCATATTTTTTTATTTTCATGATAAGTGATGTTTTGTTTATTTTTTTATATTTATTTTTATGAGAAGTACTGTTTTGTTTATTTTCATATAATAAATATGGTGTTTATTTTTGTATTGTAAGTATATATTCATGTTTTGAAATATATAATGTAACTTTTGTTCTTGTAATTTTCGATTTGTCCCTTCCAATATATTTATTCAAGGTCATTGTTATTAGCTTTGTTTTGGTTTTCGTCAGAACCGTCTTAGAACGATTCTGCTCATGCGCATGAGCAGTATAGTTCCAGAACGGTTCTGAGAAGTGTTATTGTTCTATGGTTCTATGTTTGAGTTCAGTGGTTTCAATAGATGCCTCTAAATATTTTTCTCGAATAGTGCTTCCTGTTTTTCAGACTACTACAATATTTCCAAAATAGTTCATTTATAACACTGACGAATAAAATACAGTTTGACAAAATCTACCCCGCTTCGACCCGATCTACCCCGCTCGTCTACCCCGATATACAAAAAGGTTGTGGCAACCCTGCTTGAAGTTATTCAAACTGAAATACTTCTTAAGTATGGATAGTTTAAGGTAGAAGTGGCATTGGATGAGAGTGAGATGAGTTCTACACGCGCTGATTGAGTCTTAACGATTTGGCTAAATAGATTGAGGTTAATGCATAATTAGTTTGGACTTCGAACCGAGTGGTAGTGCTAATTAACTTGTTCAAAACTAGTTACAGAAAAAATATGTTACAACAATACGATATAAACTCTACAGAAATACATTGTGATATCACGAGCACCCCTTTTTCTGTAAAAGACATTTTGAACATGAACATTCAAACTGAGAGTGAGTTTTATGCTAACAGTGTGAAGAAGGAGCAATGTGAAGCTATGCATCAGCAGTATTGGGACAGTTCCTATTTTTGTGGTAATGAGCAAAACAGTTACTATTTCAGTAACGAAACAGACAATTACCTTAGTAAAAGTTATTGGAACTGTGATAGCACCTATGGAGAGCCAAACACACACATTCAACATTTGAACAATATGTATATAACCCATCAAAATGACGTACCACACAGAACTGGAAGGGAGGAAGGATATGCCAAAATTGAAAGCCCAAGTAAGTTATTCATTTATTATTATATTTATTAATTCTGAGACATTTCACAAAGAGCGTATGAATCAAAATCATTTAATATTTTTCAATTAGAAGCATGCATAGTAATTTGAGAATGTAATTTTGTCAGATGATAGTTTTCACCCCTCCTTGCATATATTTAACTAATCAGAACATTCCTGTCAAAATTTATCAACAATTTTGACAGTGCTATAGTACAACAACAACAAATGGATCAAGTGTAGCCTTTTTTATTCACAGACATCCATGAATATACGATCGTATTAATCGCGTGATTAAAAATTAGTATTTGATGCCTACCTATTTGAAAAGTAACCAATACGGGCGAAGTAAAAGAATTTTGCTCCATAATCAGATCATCAACTATAGAAAAATACTGTATCTATGTACGAACAAAACTACATAATGCATCAAGTTTTGGTAAATCCTATTTTAGTAAATAATCAGCCTGGATATCGCAAAAAAGGTTGATGTTTGTCAATATTGCAGTTAATGCCATATTAAGACTCATGTGAGTACATAATTGCTGTAATAGCTGTAGCTACTTCTTGACTACTCGTAGAAAACTTTCGAAACAATTCGACCAATGAGGGATGAAGTATATGAATGACTGAGAATGAAATTCAATTTTATTTGAAATATATTAAGAAAAAGGAATACCACAAGGAAGTGTTTTGGGGCCACTACTGTTTATGGTACCTATATGAACCTGAACGTTCATCAATTTTCTGTAGACGCTCATATTCATTTGAATTTCAAAACAGCAAAGCAAAAAGAACAATATAAACAAAAAGCAAATATTAAAGTGTATATGATTCAGATTGAATGTACAGAACATCTAGTGTCAAACATTAGATAACTATATCTGGTTTTTATGTTAGATATATTTTTGAAAGTCATTCTCATTTTGATTATTTTCATAACAAATGTTAATAGAATATCTCGTGAATTACTAACTGAATTCAAAATAACCCTATACACGTTAATTATAGCTCAGCAATTTTGTATTCATTAAGTCTCAATAAAATGAATATGTCACAAATACTGTAAAATTCAGGAAGGGAATTGATTCTGAAAGCACGTCGGCTCATTTCCATTATTTTTTTAAGGACGAAACACAAGCACTACATAAAAACCTTTAAGGCGCTCTAAGAGTGGTGCCTCTGAGAAAGTAGTGACTCCAATTGGATTTGAGTCGCTGGAGATTAAATCCACAACGTAGTTCTCCAGATGGAAAAGTTCTTGAATTGTGAAGTTCGGGGTGTACTGAGTTGAACCTCAAAACGATGAGCAGACGCAGTTTGTCGCGTATTTCTGATATGTACCGTTCTTGGTGGAATCAAATGTGCCAAGTCACTTGAATACTTGAACTAGTGAAAGTATCTATAGAAGAGAGGCAAATCTCCTACATTTCTTCGATGTTCCAGACTATCAAGGTTTTGTATGGAATCCAGCAGCTTCAGCGTATTCTTAGGACTGGAGCTCCATACATTAGAACAATACTCCAAAAAAGGTCTGATCTAAGCAGTGTTTCAAGCTTTTGAGAAGCAGCCTTTGCAATTCCAGCGACATGATTGTGCCAAGACATATTGGTGTCCATTTGCAGAAAGTAGAATTGTCTGACCTGACATTATTATATCCGGTTCGGAGACATTTATATTTTTGGAAAAAAACGATGCCTAGGTTTTTGTGGCATTGAATTGTACCTGATTATTTTCACCCCAATTCGAAATTACTACTAGATTCTCATTAAGATATGCAACATCCTGCTAACGGTGAAGATGTGCATCCGCCGCCGATGTCCTGGAATCCAAATGGAATGACGAAACAAGTGTGCTGTCACCAGCAAAGCAATATATTAAATTCTTGTTTTTTTTCCAATAAGTCATTGATATTCAATATAAAGAGGGTTGGAGACAATATAGAACCTTGGGGAATACCAGCATTGACGGTAAAAGTATTCGAGAGATGTTTGTCGATGGTCAATTTCAGGAAGCTGAAGAGCCTTACACAAAAATGATCCAACAAGCCATAGCTTCAAAGTTTGGCCAGCAAACCCTCATGCCACACACGGTCAAAGCTCTTAAAAATGTCAAGCGCTACAGCTCTTGATTCTCTATGTTTCTCGATTGCGTTATTCCAAATATGGGTGACATATGATAGAAGGTCTCCTGTTGATATTTGTTTCCGAAACAAGATGTTGAAGCCTTCCAAATATTTAAAGATATGTCCTTTTTGGGAATAGGCTGAACGTGAATTTGACAAAATAAGTACTCTGTAAAGTTTTGTGAAATAATTGTCTATAACGTTATGTGTCCTAGGGGGGTTCCTCGGGGGGTTCCTTCATTATTCAAATAAATGTATATCTAACAATCACATTTCTTGTAGTAATGTAAAGAAACAAGTATTTTGAGTTAGCAGATCGACTCAGTAAACTTCCAATTACACTTTTTGGAAACCCTCACTTGAAGTAGTGTGCTTTCAAACTGAATGATTATAACCTAAAAGGAAAAAAAAAGTTCGAACCGGTTTTTTCGAATGATTATTGTTCTCATGTACGGAGCTGCTTCCCTAAGCATACCCTTAAGCTGCTGGATTCAAGTAACTTGGCACATTTGATTCCACCACTCAACGGGCTGTGGCTGCTCATCATTTTGGAAAACTGCGTTCATGTGGAATAAACTTTCTGAGAACGTTTATTCCAGAAGGATTTAATCTCCAGCGATTCAAATCCAATATGAATCGCAACTTTCGCACAGGCATCGCTCTTAGAGCGCCTTAAAGATTTTCTTAAGGGCTTGTGTTTTGTCCTTAAAAAAACAACGATCTAAATCTAACTTAAATCGTCACTTCCACAAAGACACTGCTCTGAGAGCATCGTTCTTTGTACTCTCCTAAATAAAATCAATGGGCTACAAATCTGGTGATCGTGTAGATCATTCAATGCTACCACTTTTCCTAATCTAGTGCCGTACAAAATGTTGATTTGTATCAACAATATAGTGATTACTGGATGTTTCATCGAGACTATAGAATCCCTCGGTAAATGCTTCGGAATATGTCAAAACGTTTCGCTAGAAAAAAGAATTCTAATTCTCAATTGTATTTTTTTGCCAGTAATCAGGGGGTATTGTAGAATTCAAAGTCTAAGTATTGTAGAAAAATCAAGGATTTTGAAACGACATTATACACTGACCTCCTCTAGAGGTCCTTATGCTTTCCTGAAATGTTGAAGCAATTTTGCAACTTTGTTTTTGTTACGCCTATTGGTGTTTTATATGTTTATGAAACTGATTGTAATGAAAAATAATTTTCTTGAAGTATTTTTCTCACAAACTTTTAGAGAGGAGAATTGTTAGCAATGTGAATATCAAAAGTTCAATTTTGGTATTCTCAAGTCGATTTCCAAAAAACCATTTTCAAAATGTGGGAGAAAGTCTTAAAATATATTGATAAATGGTAAGCATTGATAATTTCGAAAGCAGTGTTCGGAAGAAATCTTGGCGAAAATATTTGAGAGGCTTCCACTCTTCACTCACGATTTTCTATATTTCAAATTTATTATTGTTCCATATCGAATGAAATAGTTTATGTACCTACTCAATAAAGCGGATTCTGTCTGAAACTTTTTAATTTTTGTGAGGAACAGTTATTAGTCTTACTTCTCAAATAATGGAAAACCGCATATATTTTTCAAATCAAGAAAATATATGAAAAAATATCATGTTATCCATATTGTGTATATTATCGGATTAATAATTTTTTCATTATTCCAGGATAACAATAGGGTTTTTCGAAAGGTAGAGTTAATTTAAACTGTTGAACTGGAACGAATTCACCTATTTTCTCCACAATTTTTTTGAACGGTCATAAAAATATTCATCACATAGAGTTCGTCAGCTTCTTCGATTGCCACTTCTCGTAGAAATTTGAGGTGAAAAGTGAAATTATCAACAGTTTTTTTCATGAAATTTTATGGACTGCCTTGGAATTATGCCTGGAAAATTCCAAAAAATTTGAAAGGTTAAGAAGTTATGCCACAGACCATGTCAAAATGTTAATCTATGTAATTGTTATGAGAATATTTTCATAAAGTGGGGTGTTCACTATCGAATGATAATTGATCGAAAACTTATATATGTGAACTCCTACTGAAAAGCACTATTTGAAAATATGTGAAACTATGGATATATACGTTAGTAATAAAAAAAAATTATTTCATTTTCGACTTCACCATGAATTTGATTAGATATATATGTGTGATATAAATTCGTATTGAGTTAATGGTCTTCAGGAAATATGCAAAAAAGATTTTCATAATGACTATTTATTCTGGGGACTCCATTTCGATATCGTAAAGACTGTTATTCAACACAATGAAAACTTCTTGAAAATTTTTACACACACTCGTCGGGAAGTGATCCATATATGTGCAACTAGATTTATTTGGCTTCGATTATACGTGTTCAGGTTAGTATACGAGTGTACCTATATTTTCAAAAAGTGGTACAATCAGATTGAAAGGGGTATATTTTTAGAAGAGATTAATTTTTGGAAAAGAAAAGTTTTGGCATTCTACTTCTCCATCTTACATAATTATACAAAAAATACTTTTTCCTATTTTCCTTTCTTATATTTGTTATGTAATTGAATCTAATATCATTCACAAAATTGCTGTACAATATAGTATATGAAGTATAAGAAGGGAGAAAATTTCACTTACATAGAACACTGTCATTCTCAATGGCGGACGTCGATGTTTGGGAATGAGTAACTTGTTTCATTTTTTTACTGCATTTATTTAATGACACTCATTGCCAAAGATAATAGTTTATTCGGATGTATACAAAATACTTCAACTTAGTTCTTAGATTCCGTTTTAATCATCTCCTGATGATGCTAACTTGGTTAGCATCATAGACAGTGATTCAGTTCTGGCGTGCAAAAGTGTTTTTCATTAGGTTCATTTCACGCCATAAATT